TATAAAGGCACAAGTAAAAATCTGTATATTGCTGGCAGAAAGAAAAGTTAATACTTAAGGGTGCCGGTTTAGCTCGTGCCGTATAGCTGAGAGAGACCAAGATGGGTTCAAGTCTGACCCGCAGCACTTTGCTCCATGTCTTCCCCTCTCCCTCCCCTTTCCTGTCAATCTTAAACAATAAGACTAAGCTAGTAAGTCACATTAGTTAAAAGAAGTTATAGTGTGTCATTATAGAAAGAAATTCCCCAAATGCTTGGAGAATCTAGCAATCTTGTTGATATGAGATCACAAGATAAGTCTTTCCAAACTGTATTTCAAAATAACCAGGAATGTCTTGAGTGCAGACTACACTACAGTGCACAGCCTCTTTACTCTTACTATAGACAGTGAGCATGATCTAACTTAGTCCTGTGTGGCTTTTATTTATTTTATTTTTTTCCAGATCCGCTCTAATGAAGATAAAACAAGGAAGCTCTTTTACAGCATCACTGGTCCTGGAGCTGATCTGCCTCCTGCTGGCCGTTTCAAAATGGACAGAGAGACGGGCAATCTGTATGTAACAGAGCCACTCGACAGAGAGGAAACACCCAAGTACACGGTAAGCATCTCCAAATGTTTTTCCAAGTGATTATTGCATTTTGATCCCCATTTTAAAAAGTTGTTTTTAAATCTTTTTTTAAATTATTTTTTTAGTTTTTAAAAAAAACATCTTGCTTTGCCCCAGTGTCATGTTAAACACACAATACTGCACAGTTAAGAAACAACAGGTTCTTAATGTTAAATATTCAGTTTACAGAAGTATTGAGCCTCTTCACATTTAACAAACCGTACTAGATTTGTTAAACTTTTCCTGCTGGGAATTGCAGATCTTTTTATTCATTCAAAAAGGAACATGCAACACCCTTTTGAGATACAAAACAAAGCAGTGATGTGTTTATAATAAAAAAAAAAAAGTGAGGCCTCAATATATGGATATGTAAATGTCTAGCCAGTAAGTCTTTTTACCATTTTTGGGTTCGTTTTTTGTATTGTTTGGGGGGGGGTTGTTTTGTTTTGGGGTTTGTTTGGTTTTTTTTCATTTTTTTTCCAAAAGCAATTCATTAATTCAAATACAGTTTGTTTGGTTTTTTTGTTGTTGTTTTTTTTTTAATAAAGCATCAAGTCACAGCGACAGTCACCAACCGCAATAAAATCTTTGCCTTGTTTTTATTGTGTGTAGAGATAATGTAGTAAATTTAAAGGTGAATCTGAAACTTTCTAAATGAAACATATTAAAATCTTCTGTCTGTGTAGTTTCTAGCACATGCTGTGGCTGATGGAGCAGGACAAGCTGAGGATCCCATGGAGATTATAGTCAATGTGATCGACCAGAACGACAACAAACCTTATTTTACGGAGGAGTACAAAGCAGATGTTGCTGAGGCCACGGCCACCGGTATGTATAGAAACCTTATTGCCTCTGGACTTCTTTGGTGGTGGTCTTTGTTTTTGTTCCTGTGTATAATTCTTATCCATGATGGAGTTTTCACCAAGTCCACTATATTGAATGAATCTTAAGATATTCAGAAAATCAGAATGACACCAAAATCAACAGGGTATGTGTTGGGTTGGAAAGAAATAAGCAGACTTTTTGCAGCAAGTCTGTTTTATTTAATAAATCTCGTAAATGAAGCAGTGTGAAGATCTTCAGAAAA